AGTGGGAGACGGAGGGTGGTGCTAGGAAACCAACCTCCCTCTGGTTCTCCTCAGCTTCATATCCATGGACCCCAGGGTCTTGGAAATACAAAGGAAAATAAGACCTGGACGCAGGGATCAAAGTCTCGAGTACGAGACAATAATTCACGTAGGGCAGAATAGGGCAAGGTGAGGGGTGGGAAGGCGCCCCTCTTCTTTAACATAAGGACAAAGTTGGGGGAGTGCTACACCGGATTTGTGGTTGTCGACGGGCCCATTGACATCATATGATGGAATTGATGCATCCTGTTGGCGTAGTGAGGAGATGGGAAGTCCTAGCCAGGCCTGGGACGGCTGTCAAAGTTCAGGGGAGGAGTGCTTTGTAGAGGAGCTGGTGTCAGGGGTTGGAAGCACTGACTGAATTTGAACTTGAGGAGCAGCAGCTCCAGGCAGAGCATGCTCAGAATTCAGAAAGTGTTCGGTGACCCCGGACACTGCAGATCTCTCTTTTCATTAAATTTCCATTTTGTAAACCAAATTAGTAGGTGTTTACTATATGTTCTGTGAGAAGGAGGCCAAGGCGAACTTAAAAAACCAAACAAAACTACAACAAAAAACCTTATACCATACTATAGTATGGTATGGTATACCATACTATACCTTCCTAAAGTTTGATTTTCCAAATAATGGAAGTTACTTTTAAAAATATTTTATTGATTTGTTTTTAGGGAGAGGGAAAGGAGGGAGAAAGAGAGGGAGAGAAACATCGATCGGTTGCCTCTCGTGCACCCTGACCTGGGACCTGGCCCTTGACCCAGGCATGTGCTCTGACTAGGAATCGAACCGGTGACCTTTTGGTTTGTAGGGTGATGTCCAACCCTCTGAGTCACACCACTCAGAGCAAAAAAAAAAAAAAAAAAAAAAGATTTTTTACATGATAACCTGTGCCAACCAAGGAGGGGGAACCAGTATTTTATAAGAAAGGTGAAAAGTTTTCCTAGTCATTTCCACAGATAAAGGGTTTTTTCTTTTTGTTGAAATGAAATCAGTAGTGACATACAAAGAGTTGTACCAAGACAAGAGACAGTCTTTCCCAAGCAGAAGCCGAGAAAGAAAAAAATTGGACAGGTGGGGGGTTGGTTAACCGTAACCCTGGAGCAGACAAAAGAGTTTGCCGAGCACAGTTTTTGAGACAGAAATTCGATTTTCTGTAAATTTAGAGAAAAGCAGACAAAGGAAAAGACACTCGGATTTTGGAAAAGACAACTTGTTCCAGGACAAAAATTAGACAAACTAGGAACTTTAATAGAAAATTCAACAAAAATAGTAATATATCAAATTATATCATTATCTATAATTTTTTTTGATAGGAACGCCTTTTACTTACATTGTGTCCTGTGTACTTTGTAAAGCCCCTGGGAGGTCAGAATGGTCTTTATTTTACAAATAAGGAAAAGGAAGTGCATAGAGATCCACAGACTCGCCCAAAGCCACGTACTTTGAAGGCAGTGGAACTGGAATTAAAGGCATTCTTTTTTTTTCAGTCCTCACCTGGACTGAACCCCAAACCCAGGTGTGTGCCCTGACCGGGTATCAAACCTGCAAACTTTTGGTTTATGGGATGATGCCCCAACCAACTGAGCCACATGGCTCAGGGCACAGGTACGCTCTTTTGGCTTTAAACATTTTTAGAGGGGCTTGTGGGGGGAGTGATGACGAACCCCTCTTTGCACTGACATGGTACCCACCTGTCAATTTAGCTCCAGTTTTTTTTCCTTTCCATGAACTACTCCTGGCTTTGTTGGAAGAAACAGCTAAACACTGCGTATTTTCCATAAAAAAAGATTTGCTTCTTTAACATATGCATTCGTAGAAGCTTTCCACGACCTTGCACAATCTTCAGCTGCATGGAAGCGGGCCCTTTGTATCATCTAGTTAAGTCTTTAAATTTGGTATTTAGGTTAAACACAAAATGTGGTTCTCAGCATTATTCCGAGGTCATTATTCAGGATGGAGAAAATGTTAAAAGCGTAGAAAGTAATGCATGAAAAATCCATTATTAAAAGCAGCACCTCCTTATCTACAACAGCAGTTACTTTAACAGGATCCCTCTCGCATTGTACTGACACACTGTTGCCACGTCGCTGAAGTTCCATTAATGTTTCCATTATACGTCTCTATTCAGCACTGGCACCAGTGTATATAATTCAACGTATCGCCTATCGCCGAGCTAAACTTGGCTTTGTGAAAACGGTGTTTTTTGAAACTTCCCCCAAAGAAATGACAACCATATGAATGAAAACGTGCAGAACACCCCATTTCCTGTGTCCAGGGGAGCAAACCACCTTCTGTTTGGGGGATTTGAGTGGGAAAGGGATTTTTGCCTTTTAATCAGTTGTGACCAGGATTATAATGCTATTAATGCGGAAGCATGCTGAACTAATGAAGAAGCAAGCAGTGGAAACTGTCCTGCAAGGTCTCTAATAGGCCTGTTCTTAGCAAAACCTCCCAGACGAACGGGGTTCAGTGTTGGAGGTTCCTAGGAAGCCCCATTCCACAATTGTTATTGGCTAACTCGTTCCATTGTTTAGCAATCCCTACAGCCAGGAAAATTTTTTTCCGTCTAACTCAAATCTTTGCAGTTTAAGCCAATTTCCTGCTGCTCTTACAGGAAATGGCGAACAGCTGTTTGACATCACAGGCATAATCACTGCTTTTATTTAATATGGACCTGGATTAGAGCCCCCACAAGCTCAGCCCTCCCGGCAGAATGTTTCCCCCCAAGTTTCTTAAGAGGTTCATAGCTCTAAGTCGCTGTCCTTGTCTTCCCAAGGAATTTGAAATTCCATACTGAGCCTTGACCTAGCAATCTCCTTGTATTAATCGACCCTGCCCATCTCTACACAGAAATGACTCAAGATTTTGCTACGGTCGGTTAAAGTTTCCCAGTTCCTCTCACGTTTGGGAAAATAAAACATGCCTTGCTATTGCAATCTGAAGTCGTACCAGAGCTCTGCCTCCCTTGCAAGGACCTGGCTCCAAAATGGGCAGATCTGAATGCAGAGACATGATTTGAACTCTGGTCTCTCTGATTTCAAAACACTTTCTCCACTGCTACATGGTGGCTGCCTGGTGTCTACATAAGGAGGGTCTGGGGGCAGAATCAGGCTGGCAAAAGCGCATGGAGGCCTGCCCTGACGATGCATTTGCTTAGCGTGTATCTGGATTTTACACAGATGGAGCATTTACTTGCATGGAATCTAAAAAATCATTTAAGTTCCAGGGCAGAAGATGAAGTTAAAGGTCCTCCCAATGCCACCACTGAATCACCTTACAACCTAAAAAAGATCTGTCGCTTCTAAAATGCCCAGAGGTGGTGGTGATGAGTTGGAAGATGACCGTAAGTAATGGCTGGCCACCTGGCTGTGCCCATGATGAGCATGTCCATTTTCTGTTGAAAAGCAAGGACCTCCAACCAAGGTTCCTCTACCCAGCAAAGCTGTCATTCCGAATCGAAGGACTGATAGCGAGAGCTTCCCAGACAAGAAAAATCTAAAGCAGTTCATCACCGTCCAACCAGTTTTACAGAAAAAGTTAAATGGTCTTCTCTGAGGAGAAGAAAGGGAGAAAAACATCAAAAGTATGAATAATAAAATGGCAACAAAATATCTATCAATTATTTTTAATGCAAATGGATCACATGCTCCAATCAAAAGACAAACGAAGGCCGAGTGGATTGCAAAAGAAGGCCCTTTGCATTCAATAGATGGTGCCTGCAGGAGCCTCACTTCAGGTTACCAGACACACAGATGGAGAGCAAAGGGAAGGAAAAAGATATTCCATGAGAATGGAAGTAAAGGAACGACATAAGGCTTGGGTAGTGATACTCACACCACACAAAACAGATCTAAAAAGACAACATAAACAAGCAGAACAGAAACTCACAGAGAACATTTTGACAGTTGTCAGATATGAGGAGTAAATAAGGAGGGAGAGACAGAGAGGTACAGATTGGTAGTTACAGAATATTCGTGGAGGGGAGAAGTAAGGCACATGGAATACAGTCACTAATACGTAATAGCGGCGTATAGTGACAGACGGGTACTAGATTTATCAGGGTAGTCACTTGGTAAATTATATAACATCTATTCACTGGGTGGGACACCTGAAACTAATATAATATTGTATGCCAATTATAACTAAAAAAAAAAAACACCCCACATTATTTAAGGCCAAAAAAAGAAAGAAAATATGTATTTTTTCATGGAGCCAATCTGTGGACCTTATCAAAGGTAATAGGATCTAAAGTCTAGCAGGTCAAGCCCCGGCTGGTGTGGCTCAGTGGATTGAGCACAGGCTGCAAACCAAAGGGTAGCAGGTTCAATTCCCAGTCAGAGCACATGGCTGGGTTGCAGGCCAGGTCCCCAGTGGGGAGGGCACCAGAGAGGCAACCACACACTGATATTTCTCTCACTCTCTCTCTCTGCCTCCCTTCTCCTCTCTAAAAATAACTAAATAAAATTAAAGAAAATAAAGTCTAGCAAGTCGAGACAAAAATTAATGTCCACAGGTCAGGATGATGAGCTGAGTCTTCTTTTTTTAATATTATATTTATTTATTTTTAGAGAGAGGGGAAAGGAAGGAGAAAGAGAGGGAGAGAAACATCAATGTGTGGTTGCCACTCATATGTCCCCTACTAGGGAACTGGCCTGCAACCCAGGCATGTGCCCTGACTGGGAATCGAACCAGCGACTCTTTGCTTCACAGGCCCGTGCTCAATCCACTGAGCTACAGCAGCCAGGAGAGCTGAGTCTTCTAAGACCTTATCCTGGAAGGAGAATGTGTGAATGTGAGCTCACACAGAATATGAGAGTGTGCACTGCTGTATGGAAGCAGGAGGGAGACAGGCCGGCAATCAGGTGAACGGCTAGACAGGACATGGAATTTTTAGTTTATTCCAGGCTTTGGTGGGACCATTAGTGGGGTGGGGATGTCAGCAAAAATCAGTTGCAAATATTAGATAAAATGCAAGCGAGGTTCTTTATTATGAGGCTTCTTTTAAAAAAAAAGATTTTACTTATTTATTTTTAGAGCAAGAGGGAGGGAGAGAAACATCAATGTGTGGTTGCACTTGCACGCCCCCTACTGGGGACCTGGCCTGCAACCCAGGCATGTGCCCTGACTGGGAATCAAACCAGCCGCCCTTAGGTTCACAGGCCAGCACTGACATTGAATCTACTGAGCCACACCAGCCAGGGCTATACATGTAATTCTTAAGGCACACTTCCAGGGACTATCACTGTGGGTAACAGCATCTTGCACCATATATCCAGGGCCCCCTTATGGGCTTGGGAGAGGAAGGGGAGTTGGGTACATGTGGCCTGTTATCGATGATGTGGAAGGGAGGTGTCTCATCTGGACCAGTCTCCAGGATAATAATGTCCTGTCCAACTTACCAACTTGCCTCCACACCCTGCAAGAGCATCGTCCTAAAGCGAACCCTAAACGGCCCAGGCACTGGGGGCTGGCAACTCGTGCAGGAAGCAACACCGCATCCATATGTCTCCTGCAAAGCCCCAGGAAACTCATGCTGCTCGCGTAGAGCACTCTGGATGTGCCACCGTTCGCTGCTCAGCGGGAGGACACTTCCAGTTCCCGGAGGAAAGCACTTGGCATCAATAATCTCAAGTGTGCGCTTCATGGTGGGATGGAGAGCAAAGAGCTGTTTTGCTCGGGGCTCGGGCTCTGTGTAAGGTGCTCCGTGAGGCCACTCCACGGCGGTCCTGCATTTTCTCCAGTTCTGCAGGACAAGAGACACAAGGTGGTGAGGGGAACGGTGCGCTGTGGGTACCTGGCGTACACATGTGCCTCTCAGAAGTCTCCGCAGCTTGCCCCGTCATCGGCCGTCCGCCTGAAGCCATCCTCGTACTTTCACGTTTTGCAGAGGCGGCAAATCTGCAGTCGGCCTCTGGGCTTGGGTCCCTTCCCACATTGCAGGATGGGTGGCATCTGAGCCTTCTTCGGTGGGTTTCTGGCAAAATGCTAAATGCATGTTCATCTCCTGTCTGCATCGCTAAGGAGTTCCTAGTGCCCCCGAGGGACAGTTGAGGATCTTCCTGCACCACGTGTAGTGGGGGGGGGGAGCGGAAAGCAGGAAGTGACCAGTGATACCCACACAGCCCTTGTCCTTCGCCCACTCAGGCCCCTGCTGGGCACTCCCGTGTCATTTCCAGTTATTTCTCTGTCACCCCAGCAGGCTACCTGGTCTTCGAGGGCTGGAATCACAGCAGGTCTGCTTTTGTATCTAGGGAGACTGTCTGGCCCCGAGTGAACTAAATGAGTGGTGTATTGGCGATGAACCCCAGAACTGGCAACACAGTCTTTTTTTGTGTTGCCAGAAGGGTTTCCACCACCCGGGGTCTGCTCTCACCGTTAGGAGTCACCCGAGCTGCTGATTTGGACAAGTCACTTCTCCTAAGGCCACAGTCTCCTCTGCTTCTGTTCCACTTTAATAGTTAGCAGATTAAGGGACCCCGACATAGTTCCCTGCAGGTCCTAGTATGAATTTGTATGAATGTCTCAGGATCTTTCCGTTCTCCGCCTGCAAAACCAGAGAAAGAAGTGAAGAGTGTTGATGACTTTCATTCACACAGTCGGCCCGATGGGCAGGTACAGGGTCACATTTTTGTTCCACTAAGTCAGGAGTTGGTGCAGATAACAATGGGGGGGGAGCTGCCCCCAGCCACGGGGGCCACCCTCTCTGCCAGTCCCCAGCACAGTGCTGACCCTCCAGTTGGACTGGCTGGCCATCACGCTGGTGTGACCGAGGACTGCCTTCCAAATTGCAGAATGACGTTCTCACTCTTCTCTCCCACAAGGAGAGTCAATGGAGGTTCCCCATTCACAACTCGCTTGTCAAATGACATAGGATCCTGCTCTAATAGAAGGCGATGTTCTGCCTGGGCAGAGAACCAGACTCTCGCTTCCAAGGAAGCACTTCTCTCTCTCTCTGTCTCTCTGTCTCTCTGGCCTTGCCACCAGAAGGCTTCCTGCCACTGGTGCTGAGCCAGAGAAAAACAACGCACCCTCACGACTCAACACCACGCCACTTCTGGGCACGAGGACGCCTTTACAAGTCTCAGTTGTATCAATTAAAGCACGGCTTGGTGAGAGAGGCCACTGTTTACTTCCGAGGCGTCTTTGCCGGGTGAGATGTGGACTGGCCCGCCACTCTCAACCCTCCTCTGGGCTCCTTCTGTGACCCTCTTGTGCGTATTATTCCCCTGATTGCCTGCTTCCATGGGTGGTTGGGTGATCTGTTCCGCCGACTGCCCACTCTCTTTCCTACGGGACAGTGAACCCTCTACAGGCAGAGAGAGGGGCTCTGTTGATCGCACCCCCGGGGCCCGTGCGGCAGCTCAGTAAGTGTTTATTAAACCCAGTTCATCTTCCATCCGCCCCTTACAGTCGCCTCCCAGATGGCACTGGGATCTGGGCATCTTCTATCATCACCCTAGTTTGTCTAGGACTCCTAATAATTTATACCTCCGTGTTGAAAAAGAAATACCAGAGAGAAAAAGAGAGAGAGAGAGAGAGACAGTAACGTAACAAGCACTTTTCACGTTCGGATAGCCCTGCTGTGGTTCTGGGGAGTACTTCTAGAACACCATCAGATGCTGTTACGTGTAGAATCTTTTAAAAATTAGATTTTCCTCTAGATGGAGCCTCATTTCCCAGTGACATTTTACAGTTCTTTTCCATAAAGAGCATGATTCATTTGACAGACGACAGGCCCAAGAAGTGCAAAATAATCCCTTATTTCATAAAGATGGGCTTTTCTTCTAACTATTGGAAAAAGTCAAAACCTATGGCATTATTCTTTTACTCGCAATAGGAAGGAAACAATATATTAGATCGGGGGGCTCTGGTGCAGCTGAAACCCCCTCTGTCTGAAATACTGTGTCCGCCGGGCTCTGTGCTCCATGCTGTTTGAATCCTCTTGGAAGAATCTAATCAACGCACCGTGGAGAGGGACCTCGCGCATTTGAATCTAGAAGGAGAGAAAGAGTTAAGTGACCATCCCCAATTACAGCCTTGGAGGGGGTGATTAAGATGAAAATTGCAGGGAGGTTTTTAATTTAGCTGCCGAGAGGAGCTGCCCCCGGGTTGAATTGAGCTCATCAGATCATGCGCCGGCCCCGCCCCCTCACCCCGCGCTGTCACTCAGAGCAATTCTATCAGAGAGGGCACCGAAGGGATGGTGCGGCCTAATACCCTTTGCCTGCATGGCCACCAGAGTCCCCTTTCCCGTTTCCTTGGGGCGAGAACGAGCAGAGCCAGTCTGGGTGAAGCAAAGCCCGAAACGAACCAGGGGGACGTGGAAGGACTTCGAGCGATTCCTCGGTAGGGCCAACGTGAATAAACGCAGCCGTGGCTTGTAAGACACGGGGTTGGGGGTCCTCGCAACCGGTGCTTTCCGCTACGGAGTCGTCTGCCAAAGCTTTCTCTCATACGTTTCATCGGAAATACGCTCACCCCGCGCCAATTTCCTCCTAATGCTAAGGGCAGCCCTAGATGGTGGTGCATATTACACCCAATGAAGTGTGTGGTGGAAATGAGGGTTAGTTTGAAGATGCACACGCGTCGGGGACTTCTTTGGGCTCTAATGACATACGGGCGCTTTTAGGGGGTGGGACCCTCTGGCCATATACTGCTAACAACTTCTGTCTCTGCAACTGCTTACCATGGGCCGGGGTTGGTGCCAGGCACTTGATGGCATTATCTCTAATGCTGGAAACACCAGGGCTGCGGGTCCCATCCTCCTCCAAGGCCATGATTCCACGCCTAGGCGACCCTAATGCAAAAACAAGGCTTGTCCGTAAACGGTTTCTGATGTTACACCCTACTCCTGAGGTACACCCATTGATAGGCTTACACATCCATTATTTATATAAGTAAGGCCAATATAATTGAACTTCTTATTAGCATGAACCCAGTATAAATATTTATAAATTAAGGTTTAATTAACATATTGGTCGAAGCCAGTTTCCATGGATGATATGTAGCCACTGATATTGCAAAGTTTCAAGCTTTGCACAAAATGAGCATTTGTGAATTTAATAAGCCTATTTTCCATTAAAAAAACACACACACACACAAACTGGGTGTTTGTAAAGTTAATCAGTCTCTTTTCCATTTGGAAAAATGTAAAGTTAATAAGCCTGTGTTTTATTTGGGGAAAAGAGTGTACCCTCTCTTACGGTTTTTCTGATAACATATTCTAGAATATATACGTGGGCCCGTCGTTAAGTAACTGTTCAAGGCTTCTTAATTAAATTACGAATAATGAAATATTTTCAGGATTCCCATTAAGAACATCTACTGGGGAATACAGTATATTCCTTTCAGACTAGAGCTCGACTTAATTCAACGTTCGGATGGCACTACCCTCATCAAAACAATGATAATCCTCAATTCCGTACTTTGAAAACAGCAACTTTTCTTTCAGTGTAACGGGGTCCGAATCAGTCAACGAAATTAATCAGAAAAGTCCTTCGCTCAAGTCATGATATGTGTCCAATTCAGAGTTTTACTTTGTAAACCTAGCCATTCACCATGTGTTCCAGGGGAAGGTACAAGAGCCTGCTACTCAACAAAGTGTCTGAAAGAATCGATTTCACCCACCGTTAACTGTGTTTGCCATAGAACATTTTTACACGGTGACAGCTACAGATTTGAACACTTCCTATTGTAAATATATGTCCTATTAAATATATAGCATATAACTATATAAATAGAAACACACAGATGCATATGAACACATATATAGGTTGGATGCACACACACAAAAAAAACCCTGAGCATTTTAAAAAGCACATTCGTAAATATTTTTAACGATGTGATAACCCAATAGTATCTGTTGGCATCTCAGAAAGCTTCCTGTGCATTTAAGTGCCTTTTATATTTTGGGAAGAGTCTATTTTTTTTTATTTGTAGAATTTTCTCATTCATCCCTATACAATCTGTTCCTGATTATAATAACATAAGATGCTTGACCATCAAAAGTTTCCAATGTGAGAAAAAGTCAAGAAAATGGGTTTTAATTAACAACATATTTTTATTTCACTAGAGACTTTGCGAATAAATGAGGCAGTAATTTTTGGTTAAAATTTATGTTACTTTTTGACCAGTGTAAAAATGTTCATGAATCATAATTTACATGTCTGATAATGCTTAGCAGTTAGAGTGTAAAGGGCTATTTTAATGATCTCAGGCTGCGGTGAAATGTGCATGTATAATAAAAATATTAAAGTAAAACCAATATGAATGACAGTGAAACAATGGATGCGGACACCCTCTTCTTCAGCTGCTATAAACAAAATACTGGTCAATATTTTTCATCTGTGGCTGGTGCTGGTTAGAGTTTGTCAAGATTTCCAAAGCTTTATAAGTAAATTGCAGTGTAGCACAGGCCACCAAAGTGAAGAAAAAGAGTTACAAATTTCAATACAGTAGTAGGCTCATGTCAATATTGAGTTAACTAGTTAAAAGATTTAAAGATGTAGTTTTATAGTTGACAATATAATTTGCATCCAAATAATTCAAAAGTAAGACTAAAATATATATGTACATATTTTAATTTTTCTTCAAATTATAGTAGGCCGTCCGTGTCTTAAGTTTTTTACAATATGAGGCACTTTGATTGCAGTTTGCATTTGAACCTGTGGCATAAGTAAGCTTTTTTTTATCATTTAATATCAAAACAGTTTTATTTACTTCAAAGGATTTCAACAGCATTTTTTCAAGTTTTTAAATTAAACATGGAAAGAATAGTATACATGGTGAGTGACACAGGTCAGGCAGGGAAGGACCGATACCGGATGATTTCAGTTCTATGTGGAATCTCAAAACTAGTTTGCTTATTTTAGCAGAAGAGAAGCAGGGTCACGGGCAAAGAGCAGGTTTGCAGAGTTGCCCGGTGCGAGAGGAGCTGGGGGCTGGGCGAGAAAGGTGACGGGATTAAGAAGTGCAATTGGCAGTTACAGACTAGTCATGGGGATGCAAAGGACAGTTTAGGGACCAGAGTCAATAATATTGTAATAGCGCTGTATGGTGCCAGGTGGGTACTGGAATCAGGGGGATCACTTTATATCAGTCATATCAATGTCTAATCTTGGGGTTGTACCTCTGAAACTAAGTAATACTGCATGTCAACTGTAATTTAAAAATTAAAAAAATTTCAAAGTCTAATAAATAATATTTTGATATAAACCATCTATTCTTTCTCTTAATAATTTCAACTTCAGAAAGAGACCTTCTTCGGTTTTGTCTACTCTCAATGCCGTGTGTTGAATAGTATTTTTTAAAATCAATAACTAAGTTAAATTATGACACACTAATATTTATTTAGATTTATTTTTTAGAAATACACTTTCTTCAACTTGCCTACCAAAATGAAACAGTCCAGCATGTTTTGTTTAATATTAAAAATCTAAGTTCTTGTGAGTCATTGAAATAATTTTACTGAAATTAATTGAATCAAAGCAATTGATTAGACATTTAAGCTTTATTTTAATAGTATATATTATAATGTTGAGAGTTTAGAAATATTGCTTATTTATTTTAATATAGTATAATTTATTTTAATAGAGTATAATATAGCATTGCCAGTATTTTGATATTCAAAGAGGATGAATTTTAGACACATCTGATTTTCTCTGTTTGATTGTGGCTTGTACTACAATAAAAATAAAACTAAACTCAGGCAGGTGCCTACAAGGACTATCAAAATTAGAAGTATTTTCAGTGGTAATATATGTTTTTCATTCTATCATAATTTATTCAAAAGTCTCTTTCTTAATTCTAATTCTATGTAGTAAAATTAACTGACAGTTTTTATCTCAAGGGCAGTAAGACTGGAGAAGGAACTTGCAATATCTTAGAAATGTTTTGCTTCAATATATTTAATATTGCAGCAATGATTTTATTTTATTTTTTAAATATATTTTATTGATTATGTTCTTACAGTTGTCCCATTCCCCCCTTCTGTAGCAGCAATTTTAAAAGGCAATATCAGGAATTGCAGAGAAAGTAATGATTTACAGGTTTGATTTTATAATTTAGGATTTTTAAAATCACTTAGAATTTTTAAAACGTGTCTATAATACAAAATTATCATTCAACATTACTATTTCAGTATCCATAGTTGATAGTAAGTGAGAAAAATCTAGCAAAGCAATTCAAGTTTCTCTGCGTCCCCTCTATTGGCCTAATTTTCAGATTCTAGATTTTTTTGTACAAAACACATGCACCAGTGATAGTTCAAAGAGATGGGAAGTTACACCAAAGGTATCCTTCTGTGAAAATTCTACATTAGTGTCGTGGTTAACAAATAACGCATGTGGGTCTCTCCTAGGGTAGAACAAAAAGGGAAAGAAAGCACCGAAAAGTTTGACATCTTAATCTTGGCTCTTCTTACACAATCACACTGTGACAGAGTTTTGTTAGGAGAGAGAAAACTCGGAGCCAAAGGAGAAGCAAATTTTCTTTTTCTCCTCAGTCTGCGTCAATATTGGCAGAAGCGTGCTGTTTGTTTTCATTCATCAGAGTATTTCATGGAAGTCTGCAGGATTCGATTCATCTTATTCGTTTCATGCTTCAAGGACTTAAGCATTCGCAGGTACATGAAGAATAGGCCTTTTAAAAATAAGTAGTGAATATTCAGGAAAGCGGGAGACTTTTTTCCTGTCTTCAGTTTAGAGAACTTTTTGGTGCATGTTAATTATACTGAAATATTTTAGTCCAAGGCAAAAGTGTGCAAAAATAAAGTGGCATTTTTGCCATTGACTTTGCTGTCTTTCTTAATCTCTTGGCGTATAAGAGGCAGGTCTCCTCATAACAATTTATGGATGTCAATATTTATCAATCCTCAAAGCAAAAACATCGCAACCTGTAACTATCTGGTCTTTTTGCATAAAACATTCTGACAGTTTTAAATGTAAGCACATTAACAAATACTAAGTTAATATTCTGGAACAAAATATTCTTCCTGTAAAGTGAACTTTTTAGGCTGAAAATAAAAACAATTTTAACTACTTCAATCTCCAGTCTATCTCTCAACGTGCAATTTAAGCTTAGGTGATTCACAGTGTAGAAATTTCTTCCTAAGGTAATTAGTATAATTAATTAATTATTCAATAATTGAAATGCGGGTTAACAAACTTCTCTGTGTAGAAGTTTTAAAAAATGTCCTTCATTCAAACTGTGAACTCTAAGCCTATAAAACTCTTCAAAGAGCCCCAAGATATCAAGCCATCTTTTATTTAGCTAACCCTACCCCCCACGTACACTTTTATTCATACTTAAATACTCAGTATGCTGGGAGCTTGGAAAAAAACTAGAAAGCCTTAATGGATCACTGATTTTAACCAAAGAGGTAGGTGGGTATCCCTTATAAATAAATTCAAAACAATTTTTGTTTTAGCATTAATAGTTTTCATCAAATAAAAACAAGCTTCTTAGTGTAGGAGAGTTAGTCTTGAATAGGGCACCGATTAACATGTCTTTTATTTTAAACTCAAGGACAAACCTTCTGAAACAATATCTATTACTTCGGGACAAGGATGCATTTTCTCCTTCCCATTTTCTAATATTCCTGCAGTGGATTTCTTTTGAGCAAAGGGTAACGAACCAAAGTGCAAAGCAAAGGGTTCAGTTAAAACCAGCAGGAATATTTAAAATCAATTGAAGGCAAACAATATTTAATCTTGCCATAGTTTAAAGCTAATGGATGAGTTGGTTGAGCCTTGCATTTTTCATGAGGTGCGTATTCTCAGTTTGGGTGCTGTGCCTTTGAAAGTGTGTTTATGGTTTAATATAGTAAGGTGCAGATTGGAATTTAGAGGTAGTGTGCTTTAAAGACGCCTGCCTACACCTTCTAGGCAGTTATTATAATCAACAGCAAGAATAATATTCAAAGTTATGGTGAGCTTTCTCAAGACCTAAAAATTATAAAATCCTGGTAGTGCTTTTGTTATTTTGTTCCTTAAATATCTGCATGATCTCTTTTAAAAACATGCAGATTGTAAAGTGTGTGCCTTTTTTCTCTGAATGATTCCGAATGTCAGACAAGGCTTCTAAATAATTTTTTCCTCAGGAAATGCATAACAATCCAGAAACTGAGGAAATAAATTACCTATCTTGACAAAAACAATGAAATGGGCAATTTTTTGTAACTAAAAGAACTACTACAGAATTAAATCAGGGATGATAAAAATCACCCCAAATTATGCTGGAGTCCCTTTTCCTACCTTTCCACACATTGGAAAATCTGTAATACTGGAAACACAAAACCAGTCCTAAAACTGGCCCGGGATCATTTGCGCAATATTGATCTTGTAATTACTCCCTTGGAGGACAAAACTGGATCTTTTCATGTGTGGTTGTCAGATGTTATCAAAAGTAAATGTTTGCAACAAGTGTTAAAAAGCATTTCCATGCTAACTCTAAGATTGATGTCATCGCCGGATTGTGCAAACACAACAATTCCACTCCCCCAAAATCTATAACTTTTGCTTTCACTTTTTTAGATGGAGTGTTTTTCTTTAAATGGTGTTATTGATTGTGCTGATGAAAAGCATTCTTTACATATTTTCTGTGCACTTTTTGTGCCTGATACCTTTCAGCATTTGGGTTTGGAAGCCGTTCCTAAGCACGCTTCCTACCTCCCCATCTTTTTGACATATCATTCAAACTGATTGGCAAGTCCAACCCAAGAAGTAATCTCGTATCTGGGAAGACAGTAGTGATTTTTTTCCCCTGTAACCTTCTCAGTGAGAACAGGTAGAGGCAGGAACAAATATACGATGACCCCCATGTGTCTGTAGCTTTCGGTACGACACCTGACACAGAACCAAGCTAGAGACACTCTTATCAATTACAAGAGCTCAGGGATAGCAATGGCATGCAAGATGATGAGAAAGCTTCTTTCTTTCTTTCTTTCTTTCTTTCTTTCTTTCTTTCTTTCTTTCTTTCTTTCTTTCTTTCTTTCTTTCTTTCTTTCTTTCTTTCTGAAAGGATGACATCTGTAAGCTATTAGAAGGGGCTAAGAAAAAGACTTTTAAATGCTTATAAGCAAAAAAGAGAGAAAAAAAAACAGCTAAGAGAAATAGTGTTGAAAAACAAAACACGGAGTTCTCCTTTCTGTACCAAATAGAGAATTAGGGACTAAAAGCTTTTATTATCTAAGTTAGATGCCATCACAGAACACAGAACAATTCCGCACCAATACCAACAAGTATTAAAGACCTTTGCTGTCTTGGTGAGCTAATGAAATATCAACAGTTGGAATAGTAAGAAATATCCTGGACCAAATAGAATTGATTTTTATATGATTTTTTTTCTGAAAATCAAATTTTCAATTCCCTGATCTTGTTACAGAAAGTGAGGAAGGCAAATAATTTTCCTCAGGTATAAAAACATTTCTTTAGGGAAAGGAAACCCTTTTGCTAGTGAAAAAGGGGAAATTGTAGAGTCTGTGCTTCTCTCTAATTTACAAGATGTCTTTTAAATAAAATCATTTGCTCGGGGACAGTAAATGCGACCAGCAGATGTGAAGTCAGCTGTTGAAGCAAGACAGTATATTAACTGATGGAAGTTTCAATTGCAGTTTTGAAAATAGAAGCTAGTTAGGGGAGCTGAGAGATTCAGAAATAATTATTCATATAATTAGAAATTGGAAATCAGTCAACAGGAATTGTTTTGGCATAAAAATGACATTTGAAGTGACTTTAAGTCTGCCTGCACCAAAGTATATCCAATTCACACAGTATAAACATAAAATGTGCTGTTTTGTTTCCAAGGCCGTACTGAGATCTTTGAGACAGACTGAATTTGGTGCAAATCAAAATCCTGGCGGATAATAGATCTCCTATGGCAATAGCTTATTTGAATATCTTCAAGGCTGGATACATTTCAAAGTTTAATTTTTTTTCTACCATTTGATGTCTGCCATATCAATTTGGTCAAGTTGCATATTACTTGGCAGAACTCACGTTTAGAAAAGATAATTAGGATTTGCTTATTGTGGGCAATTACGTAATGATTCTTCCTATTGCCTTAACAAAATAGCCTGGGAGAGAATATCAAAATAGTGATATGCTCAAGGAACTCAGAATGAATTACTATATGACACAAGAATAGTCCGTCAACCACTGAACTTGGAGCCAGCCCACCGGAAAGATTTGAAAACTGCTTAGAATGACGAGACTCTATTAGAAAAGGAAACTCAATCAGCAAGCCCTGAAAATTAACAACAGTTCTGTTAGTCAAAGGTTTCCTCCTCATGTTCCACTGAGGCCCAAGGAGGAAGGCTTCGATGCTCGAGCACCCAATAACCCTGACCAACCTAAGTCACAATTCATGACAAGCAAAATCAAGTTTCCTTTGTGGCTGACATTCAGGCAGCTGCATCTAAATATAAAAGAGCCATCAAGGAGAGATGTCCATTAATTATTAACTGGAAACAACTTCAGAAAGCAGCCCTCACACCTCCGCTGACTTCATTCTGCCGGGCTCCCAGTCTGGGTGGGTTGCTGGTAAGAGCTGCATTAAACCCAGCACGCCACCAATCCCGCCTTTAACATCGCAGCCTGGGACACCCCGCGAGGGGAGCTGCACTTCCTCTAAAGACATCTTGGGGACACGTTTACAATCTCACATTCTGAATAATCCCCTGGGTGACTGTACCTCTCTCAGCTGCACAATAGGGTGTCACGAGGCTAATGGCAACTTGGGAGATGAAGAAACTCATCCAATTCTGTGTATGTGTTGTTAAGGACACCACCACAGTCCTGATTAAAATTTATGCTGCTCTATGCCTCAGTGAAATCCTGCAGGGGTTCTCTTACTACAAAATGCAAAAAGAAAAAAAAAAGGCTTTGGTATCAGTGACTTTGATAAAATGTGGATGTATAGAGAAGGTTGTTATGTAAGCTGGTGAGGTAATTTCGCTTCTTACACATTATTATTAATGTCTGCATAGTTTTTCATTGAAATTAAACACTTTGCAATTTGTACGATCCTTTTGGGTTCATTACAAATACCCAATAAAATTGCATTTCTACGAAAAGAGCCTTTAAGAATCTATGTTAACATTTATAATTGTAAGGTCATGTTCCTACTCTGGACTGAACAGCCTGGAGCCAAAGTCCAGAGGAAGAAACTCCTTTGTTTATTTGGAAGTTTTATAATTTGACACCATCATAGTCGACTAATTCATTATTGTTCATTTGCCCAAACTACACAGAGGCAAAACCTCTCACGGAGCACGTTCCCAGCCCGAATATTGACCTGGCATGGGAGAAGGTTTTCCAAAAATACCTTAAAATGCAAGTCAAAATGAATACATGGATATAAACAATCTACGATTTCGATTTTTGCGATTCCTTTTTGCAGACACATCTCTGTAGAGAGAAAACAGCTATGTCACAGGAAGGAATGTTATTTTTAAGCCCCGTGGACACACTGTGCTCTGTCTTTGTCCTCTATCACTCTGTCTCTTATTCCCTCTGTCCCTCTAAAAACTTCTGGGAGTGCGAGCGAACATCATCTGAGCAAACCAAAGTTGAACAGTCAGCCTACCTCAGGGAAAAAAATACACATTTGCATAAAAACATAAAAGCAATCAGCAGTACTGAGAACAGAGAAGGGACACGTATCTGATCGGGTCGATCTGTTGTAAACTTTCCAACCTTGTAGTAATAATCCATCCGACCACCCACAAGTTCTTTACAGCTTCGCTTTTTATCCCAGAACGGCAGTGCTCCAGTGATTCCAAATCACACTGGTAACTTTTCAAACCTGAATAAAAAGGACAGGATGAGGGAAAGTGTGATTCTGTGTGATGACTCCCATCGAAAGGTTTTATCTCTTTACTGTATTTGATTAAAGGCCTTATATGGAGTTAAGCAGCGAACCCATGAGCGTAATTAGTAGCTGCGGGTTGTGGTTTTTTTTTGTCCCTTCTCCCCCTCCCTCCTTTGAAATGAAAGCTTAAATGGGGGAAAATGGACTGTCAGTCAGAAACTGGCTCACCCCAATCATAATAATTATAATCTATTAGAATGAAACCATAATCATTAGAAGTTCTTCTTTTCTCCTACCTTTGCTGGCTTGTTTTGTCTGTTTCATTAAAGCTGTAATTTCTACAGATGTTCTTGGTGTTCCTATATTTTCATCAACCTCTAAGGCAGCCTAAAGGGAAAAAATAGCTCAGTGCCTATAGAGAGACATGTTCATACACTGGTTCCTCGGAGCAAGCGACTTTGGCGAGATGTGTGTCTGGGTGTTTCCAGTGGCCTTTATTGAGGCCTGTCCAGCGTTTTACTATGTGCTGCTCTTGCTCAGCAGCTGGACCCTGACCTTCAAGTTCTCTTTATTTTTTTTTTTTTAAGAAAAAGAATTCTTTTCAGATTCCAAGTTCCCCCCTCCTCACCCTCCCACTGACACCATCCTATTCAGCACCGGAGATAACTTTATTCATCCACACATCATTGTATAGAATTCAATAGGCAAAGTGCTTCCCCGGGCCTGAGACTTGGACGTTTATGTCTTCATTCCCCGAGCACGGCCACCCCCCCGTGCAATGAAATTTTTACCACCATTTTTTTCAGGCATGAAATGAACACAGCTGCAAAAAATCATCCTCATCATAATCTCAAACAAGTGTTTTACGACTCTGTTGGGTCGCTGTAGATATATTTTTTCCGGCCACCTATTCAGCGGGATGGAATACATTATCAGCAGGCTGGGTTGCTTAGAATCATCTCTAGACAAGACACGCTGGAAAGGAAAGGCCGGGCCCCTTTATTCAGTAAGTCCCACAGACGACTGAGGAAGGTTTGCCTGCAAAATGGGCTTGCAGCCCAAGTGTTTGCTTTGGTACAGAAGTCAGAGCATCAACATTCTTAAAGCAACACTATCGCTCGGATGATACGACGAACAGAAGGGAAGCATTCTGCCTTCCCAGCCCCCCGAAGCAAATACGCTGGCCTCACAAAGCAAAATATGAAGTCTGCCTTGTGATCGATTTTGGAAGACAGAGGAATTAAAACTCCCCCCGCCCCACCCCACCCCACCCCACCCAGGCTCTATAAACACTTTGATTTTCACTTTTGGGAGTTTGGGCTTCTTCATGAGAAAAATAGGACTTGTTTACTGCCAGGAACATCAAATAAGTGTTTGATGTTGGACAGTCTTGCCGCAGAATCAGTACTGCGCAGAATCAGGTATCAGATTAGTGTCCCGGGTGGGAACTAGCTCATGTACGTGGTTTTCCAGTGAGGCAGGCAGGCAGCAGGCTTTCACAGACAAAATAGTCCTTTTCTTCCAAACTTGGGTTGCTTTTTCAAAACTCCATAAGGAGTCCTTCCAAAACAAAACACTCTTTGGGATTCTGGTGTTGAAAAAAAAAAAAACATTCTTGGGCAAAACAGTTCGAAACTCAACCAGGCAATCCTTGTGCCTCTCTGGGCCTCCCCTCCCCCCACCACCACCTCTGCCCCCTTAAGAATGCAAAGCCTGAAAGAAGGTTGAATGATTAAAATTAAATAGGAGCATCTGAAAGTCCTTAAACCGATATAAAACATTCTAGATGCCATAGGTGGAAAAGGAGAAAGATCTTTTTTTAAAAAAACAGACCCCTATCACTGAATAGGTGTTTTTTCCTCTAACTCCCATATGTGTTCGTACAGGCTATTGCAGACATTCGGGGGGATTTGGGGGTTTCAAAAGAGAGAAGTTTATACATTAGTGCTGCAGGTTGCAAAACACTGTTGATATTCAAATGTTTATTGTGCAAAATCTGGGATAAGCTTCGGCATGAGGGCCCCTTTAAGTGTCTACAACTCCTGCTAATTCCCCTCAGCATTGAGGAGCGCACAAAGGCCTTAATCCAATTCCACTTTTTTCAGAAAGCTTATGCTATTTTCCCTCACATAAACTAACAACACTAACCCATCACACTGCAGAGGGGGTCAAAGAAAAAGCGCTCTCTGTTTATACTTGGCCAACACTTTGTGTTTCTTAGGCAAGCATAGCAAGAAACTTTAAGTGGCTGGCTAGGCCCCACGACTTCTTCAGGGGGGAAAAAGCCTTCAGTCATGGAGGGGCTGGTGTTTAGGGACGAAAAATGCACTGGGGTGGTAAGCTTTGTCCTCTCCTGTCATCTGTGAGGAGAAATGGGTGGCTGGAGGCTTATGCTTCTGGTTGTGATTTAGGTGTTAAAAGTCAGGCTTGCTTTGATGAGGTAGCATGCATATATATGGGTTCATAAGGTGCTATGATTTTTCTCCAGGACTGCAATTTTCTCCCTCTTTCCCCGCTTTTGTTCCTGTCCCCTTTCCTTATTTCCGCAGAGATGTCTTAAGATCATATAGACAACTCTCATCATTTATTTTCTCTCAGTTACTAGTTGCTTTTATCGGAATGGGAAACTGATTCAGCCCAAATAGGAGGCCTCCTAGCTCCTGCACCCGTAATTTTGGTGGTCATTTCTGATTTCCAGTGGAAATTTCGCTGGCAAATGATTACATCTGCTGTTGGCAGTAGACACGAAGCATTTGCTTCTGATTGTGAGTATACAAGTGACCAATTACTGTGGTAATTAAGTAACTGTGGGCGCAATTAGAAACGACCATGACTTTGCCCCGGAAGTGAATGATGGAGTCGGGAATAGGAAGCCAAAATGAGAGTGAATATGAGTAGGTTTTTGAGGGTGTACTTTGGTAGTGAGGGTCACTGAAAATCCAACCACTCAGAATCCTGTGTCCCAATCAAAGCACAGAAGGTCTCGTTTCTATTGATTTCTATTCATGGTGCCAAACTGTGGAAGCTTAGACTAGCTGCTTTGGAATGCTTCTGCATTTCCATAACCACTGTGGGGAAGGCATTCTGGGGGAAGATCTGCAGTTCCCATGCATGGAATGGAGACAGCTGATCTTCATGTGTTTGTTAGACATTACTCTGGGACAAGTAGTTTCTACCATAAAATCAAGATACAGTCTCACGGTGTAAGATGAACCTATGGTAGTATTTGCTCATTTTTTTCAAGATTTTAATTATTTATGTTTAGACAGAGGGGAAGGAGGGAGAAAGATAAGGAGAGAAACATCAATGTGTGGTTGCCTCTCGCGTACCTCATAATGGGGACCTGGCCCACAACCCAGGCATGAGCCCTGACTGGGAATCAAACCGGTGACCCTTTGGTTCACAGGCCTGTGCTCAATCCACTGAGCTCCACCAGCCAGGTCAGGATTTGTTAATGTTTCTAATGAATCATGCTACACATTTGAAATAGGATCTTTGTTGAGCTAGATTACAGTACCTGAAATCAACTGGGGCCTCTCGAAGCAAAACCCCCAAGTGGTGGGAAAAAGAGACTTTCTATGATGATTTGAGTAAGAAGAAAATAATCAAGTCGATGGTCTCAGAACCTAAATCAAGCCCATTTTAAAGCCTGGTACAAACCCTCTGACTTCTGAGACTGTATATTTCTCTAAGCATAAGAACCATGGTATACTGACCACTGTTCAGATTTGTAGATGGTCTGTCCATTTGAAATCATTTTCAAATATTTTCAGTTAGGAAAAAGATAATAAATCAGCCAAATGGTGGACAACCGGGACATTCTACAACAAAGCAAACCCCGCTGAATCCAGGCTGCTAGCTAATAGTCAGCTATTACATTATCGAAATTAAATCACTTATGTGATTAGCGTGGTCTGTGTCCTTGCAGGCCTTCTCAGTAGACAGGAACACGGAAATGGATTTCTCTGGTTGCCTCGGGAGGCCGCTCCTGGAGGTGACCCAGCACGGCAGAGCGTGGGCCAAATGGCCCGTACGGCGAAGGGACGGCAGGATCCCAGTTCCTCCTAACAGTGGCGGGGATGGAGCTTAATAACAGAAAATGCAAAATTGCACTCTTTCAGCATAATAACAAGCGTTGGGGTTTCTAACAAATGGGAGTATGCGGCTTAATGGTGAACGGTTCAGGCATGAGCAAGCGACGTACATCACAGCAGAATCTGGCCTGGAGTGGTCCATCACGTGGGTAATTAACTGTGTGTGTGTATATATATATATATATACTTTTTGAGATTTTCATTAGTTGGGCCAAAGATCTTAATGCGGCATTCTTTTCCTTGGGGGAAAAATAACTGAAAGAAAAAAAAAGGAATGGAGAGAGAGGAGGAAGGGAGAAAGAAGGAAGAAAAATGTATTTGTAGACAAAATTAGCTCCAGCATTTTGGGTACCAAAATCTACCACAGAGAATGGTTGGAAGACAAATGGTGGTTTTGAGCTAATTTCGTTTTATGTTATGATTTTTATTGAGAGCTACGTCGCTTTAAAAGACCGTTTTTCTTGTTGAAACCGTCACCCCAGTCCCGTTTACCTGGTGAAATGGGACAGAGAGGGAGTTATTACGTTCAGGGAGTTAGAGTATGGGAACACGTGGGTCCGCAGCCTCTGAGCCGTGACCTGAAACCCAGGCGCCTTCTTGGCTGCAAGGCTGCAGAAGAAGATGGAGCCTGTGGTCGGGCCCATGGCACACTGGAGAATGTATGTCTTGCCTCACCTAAACAGATAAGTAAATAAACAATAAATGTTTGGTGTCGTCTTTCTACTCCCATTAAACAAGGCCACTACTTGCCTGATTGGGCCACAGGACAGGGCTCACAGGCAAGAAGAAGCTTTAAAATGTCTGATGTGGGAAGTTTTCATGTGTAAAGCCTGTAACTCCCACTTCAAGAATGGCATCGTCACAGCATTCTCCTGTTTAAATGTAACATGTATTCTCTTCTAATTCAGCGCGAAGTAGGTCACACTAGAAAGACAGCGGCAGAGCGGGTCTCACTGTCAACAACCTGCATAGATGCCTCCAACCCCTGTTACTGCCTTTTTGCTGATATAGTCCAACCCCAGCGGCCATCCTGTTGGGCTTGGGGGTGGGCAGGCAGTCTCAGCTACTTTGGCTTCTCTCTCCAACTTTCTCTCCATTCTCCGGGGTTGGCCGAGGTCCCAGAGTGTGACGTAGCACCCAGGCATGGGGCAAGTCCCTCCACCCATCTGTCACTCGGATCACACTTGAATGCGCTGTGGTTCCTATAGGTGGCGTGGGCCATGGGTGAGTTGTGGGGCATAGATGAGGGTGGGGGTCTCCCCCCAAGAGCTCCTGAGGTCATTAGGTGAAGCACAGAATCCGCTCTCAGAGGCACCGTCCCCAAACTTGGGTCTCCTTTAGACACAGGGAAATGCCACC